ATAAAGATGGGGTTTCACCCTGATGGCCAGGCTGGTCTTCAACTCCTGACCTCAGGTGATCCACCCACCTTGGCCTCCCAAAGTGCTGGGATTACAGGCGTGAGCCACTGCGTCCAGCCAATGGTAGCAATTTTTCATCCCTCCTGTATCCTTAACCATTGCCAGGTGCTCTTACAGCTGTTCTACCAAGATCCGGAATCTGTCTTCTGAACGCTAGATCTGGCTGGTTGTATTTGCTCAGGGCAGTAGAAACCTGTGAACATGACAGTGGGCTAGTTTAGGGCCCAGGCTCAAGTGGTCTTGAATGCTTCTGTTTTTATTTCAGAATGCCGCCACCTCCATTGGAAAAGCCTGTGTTAGCCAGCTGGAGAATGAGATATCATGGACAGGAGAAACAAGGGGTTCCTATTGACAGCTCCAGAAGCAGAAGCTCATTCCCAGAAACGCAGCTGTTTAGTCAACAAGCAGCCGATGATACATGTTTAAAAATGCTCAGCTGAGACTACAGAAATGGCCACACTGAGCCCAGTGTGAATGACTGACTATCTGAATTATGAGCTAATAAGTTTTGCATGGTTTGTTATGCCACAATGGCTGACTAATACATGCACCCAGTGTAGGTAGGATGCCAGGATTTAATGACAGGTTCAGTACTACTTACATTCTTACAGCGGACGCCCTAAAGGTACTATTTATTCCTCTGGTTTAGAGTTGGATGTCTTGTAAGGTAATACTGAGTAATGCAGAAATGCATGTAGACAAGTCTGCATGTGATTGGTGCTTGTACCCACACAGTCCCCCACACCACGGGAGAAAACAGATAACCACTGCCGGACCATTAGGGCCAAGCCAAATAGCAAAATCAGCTTGTCTTTAATCTATTTTTTTCTTATCTAAAACTTGGAGGTCAGGAATGTCAACAGTTCTGAAGACACAGGGTTCTCTTCTGCTGTGGCCCCATCATCCTTTGTCACTGTCTGATTTCTAGAAGGAGGGTGGGCAACAGGTGGCCAGCAGTGGTCTACATGTGGTTATTTTATTCCTGTTGCCCTCAGCTCTTTCTATGGCCACTATCTGTTTTACCCCAAAAGCTGAAGAGAGATGTAGGTAGGGAGTGGCTGTCCCCTCATCCCTGGCAGAAAAGGGATATTCAGACCATTCACCCTCCTGATGTCAGGGCTACACTTCAGTGTAGCAGCTATTGGCCATGTGTTGCTGTTGGGTGCCTGGAATGTGCCTGGTCTGAACTGCAGTGTCCTAGAAAGGTAAAATAAGAGTTAGTTTCAAAAGATTTGTTCCATATATATATATATACATATACACATATAATTAATAATTACATATTTCTCACTTATTAAAATGACAATATTTTGGATATGTTAATTAAATTGTTATAATCCATTTCACCTGTTCTTTGCTTCTTTTTAAAGCTTGTCTACTAAAAAATTTAAAATTCACATGTGGCTCACATGTTATTATTTCATTTGATTTATCTAATGTCTTTATTTATTTTTTTTTTTTTTGAGACTGAGTCTTGCTCTGTCGCCGGGTTGGAGTGCAGTGGCGCAATCTTGGCTCACTGCAACCTCCGCCTCCTGGGTTCAAGCGATTCTTCCTCCTAAGCCTCCCGAGTAGCTGGGACCACAGGGACGCCGGGCTAATTTTTGTATTTTTAGTGCAGACGGGGTTTCACCATGTTGGCCAGGATGTTCTCAATCTCTTGACCTAGTGATCCGCCCACCTCGGCCTCCCAAAGTGCTGGGATTACAGGTGTGAGCCACCGCGCCCGGCCGATCTAATGAATTTTTTAATTTTTTGAGATGGAGTTTTGCTCTTGTGACCCAGACTGGAGTGCAATGGCGTGATCTCAGCTCATTGTAACTTCTGCCTCCTTGGTTCAGGTGATTCTCCTGCCTCAACCTTCCAGGTAGCTGGGATTACAGGCGCCCGCCGCCACGTGCAGATAATGTTTTTTGCATTTTTATAGAGACAGGGGTTTCACCATGTTGAGCAGACAGGTCTCGAATTCCAGACCTCAGGTAATCCACCCCCCTCGGCATCTCAAAGTACTGGTATCACCGGTGTGAGGCACAGCACTCGACCCGAGGCTTACATTTTATTTCAGAGGATTTCCTTCTTTTTAAAATCTCAGGCTGTCTGCTCAAAGGACTAGAAGCCAGGAAAGTCATAAAATTTAAAATTTTAGAACAATTGTTATCATATACTTTTAATTCGTGAATAGCCATATAGCGTATTATTTACAGGTGCCTGTGACCTTATACACAAGGTTAAAGGCAAACATCCTCTGGGGTGAGCTTGGCTCAGCTCAGGAAGGAAGCTCTGCCTGAGAAGGCTGCAGCCTGGGCTGTCACTCTTCATTCAGCCCAGCATCTGATCACTTCTTCTGTCACTCAGGACCTGAAGGGGCGGGTCTTAAACATTATCCAATCGGGGACTCTGAGCTTGAGGTACCTCAATCAGACAGACGGGCAGCTGGAGCGGACAGGACGGCTTCCGGGTTTGGCTGGGCCTTTGTCACTCCCCGCAGCCGGAGTTCCAGGTCTTGTCTTCACTGCTGTGTCCTTTTCTTCTAGAGGCCCATCCTCTCTGGCCCTATGACCTGCAGGTATTTGGAGATCCACAGCTAAGATGCCAGGAAGCCCTGGAATTCTAGAAATGGTGAGAGTGCCGAGTCAGACATCCCGAGAGAGGGGAAGGGCTGGTTGGAACCAGTGGGAAGTGGCTGTGGCAGGACTCAGGCCTCCCCGCAGTCAGCGCCACAGTCTGCTCCCCGAGTTCTCCTTGTCTAGCGCAGCCTCTCCCCTTCAGCCATAAGATGGCGGCTGCGCTGACAGCAGTGGTCCTGGGTGTCCTGTCTCTGCCTTGCGCAGTGACTGTGTCTTGTTCTGGAGCCCTCTCTGGGCAGCTTTGCACCCGCAGTACTGCGTCTCTCCCAGATTGTGCAGGGACCACGGAAGGGTCCTCAGGGGAGAATCCCGATTTGGGGTGTGGGATGATGAATGGGAAGAGCTTTGGTCCGTGGGGTTTTCACTTTCTATTTTCTCCTATTAAAAATCTGTGGCAGTCATTGCAAAAATATTAAAGAATTTAATCAAAGAGTGATTCAGTAATTTTAGAGCACCCGGTGTGTTTTGTAGTTTGTGGTTTATGAGAGGAGCTTGAAGGGAAGACTTTTATAAGGTGCATGATAAAGAAAACCGTATTTAACAATTGGTTAGGTACAGTTACATAGTAGTTTCTGTAAGTAGGAATTAGAGCCTCCTTAGTCTAATTGCCTGCCACTTAATTATTCTCACACTTCACAGGGGATTGATTTTCCCCTGCATTTTTCACATGTTTGTGTTTCAAGCAGGGTCTCAAGTGTACCTCCCAGGACCATTCCTCCAGCCTAACTCTGGCCTGCAGTTAGATTTAAACTGTAAAAAAACTAAAATACTAAATTCAGTTTCTTCTGACACTTCTAAATGCCAACTTTTCTTTCCTAATTCCCATTATCAACTATTTTTCCTTTAGTGTGCATTTTTGATAGTGTCTTTTTAATTAATTATTTTTTGACAAAGCATTAAATGGCACTTAAAATTGTTTTCTGTTTGAAAATATTTCCATGAGAAGAAAGCAAAAAATAATTCCCTGACACTGTATTGCACAAAATTTCTATGTCTTCTTCTTCATTTTTTTTTTTTTTTTTTTTTTTTTTTTTTT